TAATATTTAGTCCGTATTTTCCCAATTGTTTTTTATACCCTGCCAACCCATCTGTTGAGTTTACTCATTGCATTTGATTGGGTCTTTTTAGCTCCTCTCTCTCTTACCTGTTTTCTTTTCATTTGCAGTGCTGGGGATCGAACTTGGCCTTATGCTTGTCAGGCAAACGCTCTACCATTGAGCTAAATCCCCAAGCCCCATTCCCCCGCTTTTTAATCTAAAGTGTGTCTGCCTTTTTTTTTTTTTAAATGAGTATGGCTCATTTATCATGTATAAACTTCCTCTTTTATGAATTTGTCCATTTCATCATTGTGTTGACCAGATTTAGGTAAAATTTTCTTGTGTTTTTGAGACAGGATCTTTATGTAGCCCAGGCTGGCCATGAACTCATCTTCTTATCTCCGTCTCAGGAATTCTGGGATTTCGTGGGGAGAGGGTGTAATGACATGCCACATGTATCCTTGGCATAGGTAAAATACTCAGCATTATATCAGGAAGCTGATAAAGTGAGCTTGACTCCCTGTTAGTGGTGTTAACTTGATATCCCAGTAAGGAGAAGCCAGTTCTCTCCATTGTAAAGCAACACTTTGCCCTTCATAGTTTGCAAGCAGCCTATTCTAGCCACCTTTCACCATATGGTTTTGCATTTTTTAAAATAAAATTTTTATTAGGATATATTTTTTGTAGGGGGGATTCAAAGTGACAATTTCAATTAGACTTAAATTGTACATTATCTACATTGCCCTTATCATCTCTCCCCCTCACCCATGGTTTTGCATTTTTTATGAATCTGAGAATAAGCTGTCTCTGTCTCTTTTTGAACCCAGGACCTCACATGCTAAGCACTGCTACTGAAGTATACCCCCAGGTACTGGTCTTTATTTTTTATGGTCTTGTGATTAAACTTCACTTGATACAATTTTCCATAGCACTTGGGAAGAAAGTATAATTTCCACTGTCCTAAAAACAATGAGATTTTGCTATCAGCATTTAATGTCTTTTTTATTTTGGCAGCACTGGAGCTTGAACTTAGGGTGTCACACTTGCTAGGCTGGTTCTCTTACCGCTTGAGCCACTCTACTACTCCTTTTCTGTCAGTATTTAAAATTTAAAAATTCCCTCAGTTCAGAAAAACTAGGGGTTTATTAATTAGCACTGTTTTCCTTTTGACCTGCCTCTGCATTTCCTCCTGGTTTTAACAGGAGTTGAGATAAGATTAAACTATTAATTGTAACTCAAGAAAATGGGGAAGAAATTTTGCATTGTTATATTTATTGTTCAAAGTCACCTTGCTTTTCTTCTCCCACTGCAACTCTTTCCAATTTCTGCTTATTTAATTTGGGATAAATTGATGTAGTTTTGTAAAGAACAGCAGGAAAAAAAGAGGGTGAAGTCTTGGGATAATTTTCTAAAGTTGGGAAATACATCGTTTAATGTATGCTGATGAAAATATTTTATTGGTGAGAGATGTGCAAAAGACAAGGATGGGATTGGTTAAACAAGTGGCAGGGCTGAATTTACATGACTCAGGAATTAATCTGTAGTACTGGAGCAAAGGGTCACTCTGGTGGTGGGACGGTCAGTAGTTCTGTTGTTTCTGTTTTCCTCGCTAGCTAACAGCAAGCCTGTCTGCTGAGAGTATGACTAGTATTGCTGGACTCTTACTTGAGATACAGGGTGATAAATTTGAAGTGAAATTTTACATGTTTCTCATTCATTTTTAGTGTTTTAGTTGCAAGCACAGTAGAAGAGAGCTGGGTTAGATCTTTGCCAGCAACAGTGATGGAGGAAAAAAGTGGGAAATTGAGCACAGCAGGAAGTAACCATTGTGGTTGTGATAGATTATTCCAGGAATCTGAGTCAGGGATAAGGCACTTAAGTCCTTCAGGGACATAACTTTTTTTCCAATAGAAAAAGGGAAAGCCATAGATTGGTTGTGTTAAATCAAAATTTAAAAACCAAGAGATCTCTGAAATAAAGTGTTTGCAGAGACTAGTCCTGGACAAATTGTCTTCAGCCACTAGCATTATGGCCATATAGCAGTTGGAAAATATCCACCAGATGTAAGAAGCCAGTGTGTTTTTATTTTGAAAGTATGTGGAGAAGAAAGTATAAATTGTTTACAGTAGACCTACATTGGCTGTACATCAGAGGGTCCAGAAAACATGAAGTGGCCAGCATCCTGGGATAGGATGATTCCCCTAAGAAGCGCTTGTTGTTTCCTGGTTGGTTGGTTCTGCAAGCGGAATGTGATGTTGCTGTAACAGCTAATCTTCAGCATACAGGAAAGAAATGTGGAGCAGTTTTTTTTTTTTTCTTTGTTGGTTAGCCCAAAGCTGTCAATGTAAGAAAATTTTCCCTTATCTCTTCCTTTCCTTCATCCTCTTCCCTGTAACTTAGGACATATCAAAATCCTTCGCATCAGTTGCATCAAAGAATTGTTGAGTGGGAAGATTAGTGTAAGAAATCGGAATGATCAGAGGTGGTTTTGAGTGTGGGACACTTGAAGTAAAGATATTATTGGAGGTGCTGCAGTTACTAGTGACTAAAAAGGTCTAATTTGTGACAGTGGATGTGACAGTGGAAATAGGCAACTCAAGTGTGGCAGGTAGTTTGAAGGGAGGATGTCTAAAAGTCCAGGGGACAGTGTTGAATATGTATGGATGTTGCGGTTGCCAAGAATGTTAATGGGAGTCTTGGTGGAAAAGAAATAAACTAGGTATCGAAGTCAATAAATGTGTGCAGATGACTAGAAGGTCACCTATTAGGTGAGGGCTGTACCAGAAAAGGAATAGTAGTTAGTACTAGTGTGTGTCATGGAGATTCATGTAGGAGAACTTGTGTAAGGATATGCAGTGAGAAATGTAAGCAACCACTGTTAACACGGAGCTGTAGGTGGGGAGGGGCCTGTGATGGTGGTAGACAACATGTTACTCTTGCAAAAACATTTTGCAAGATCTGGAGAGATTTGGGCAGGAAAGGAAAAGAGGTGATAAGGGTCTCATTGGATAATGTTAGTGTGGGAACAGGGCTGAACGAGGCAGGCTGAGAAGTTTTAAGTTTGTGGCACTGAACCAGTTAATGAGAATTTGGGGAGACTTACTGTCCTGGGAGGACAGGTTCTTGGAGAAAGGTGGGTAACCAGCCAGTTGTCCTTGGTAGCCTTCATCATAGGCATGCACTCTGTTGGTGGGTAGGATGGGGAAGCAGGTTGGGTGTAGCTCTTACGCCTTCAGAAACACTGGAGCCCTTGCTTAAACCTCACACTGGCAAGTGCTGCCTCTAGAATGGGTGCTCTTCCTGTGTTTTCATCTATACTACTTATTGTTGTTTGACATAGAGCTTATTTTGCTTTTTTAAAACCATGCTGGAAGTTGAGGCCAGGGCTTTGCATCTGCCAGGCAAGCTGTCCAGTACTGGGCCACATCATCAACCCTGCTTTCTTATTTGTTTACGGTTTACTATCTTCCCTCCAACCTAAGTTTCCAACACTAAGCACTTAGTGGATATTTGTTGAATTAATTATAAAACCATTGATTTTTAATCTATTTTTATTCAATGATTTTTAAAAAGGCTTATGTATTTTAGTACGGTTATGTTTTCAAGATAGGTTATCGATAAATTGCTTAGGCTGACCTCAACTTCCTGGACTCAACTCTTCTAACTAACTCAGCCTTTGAAACTTCAGGGACACTGCAACTCCTGGTTAGTTTAGAACTTTTACCTTTAAAAAAAAAAAAAAAAACCTAAACTGAGCCAGGTGCTGGTTGTTCACCGGGAGGCAGAGACCAGTTTGGTCAAGGTTTGAAGCCAGGCCTGGCAAATAGTTCAAGAGAGCCTATCTTGAAACAAACCATCATAAAAAAGAGCTAGTGGAGTGGGTTAAATGGTAGAGTGCCTGCCTAGCAAACATGAGGCCCTGAGTTCAAATCCCAGCAATCCCACCCCCCCAAAAAAGTTAAACTGATTTCTCTCTCCTTCATTAGACATTTTAATCATTTTAATGATTTTTTATTATACTTTAGGTTTTTAATTAGGCATTGTGTAATTTTGTAACTTGTGAAAGATAAACAAATTATGGGCATTTACACAAAGGCTGGGAGCTGTGGTATGAAGCATCTTCCCCACAAGGAATAAGCCCTCAGTTGAAACCCCAGTACTGTCTAAAAAAAAAAAGATTAATACATGAGAGCCAGATACACGCAATGAAATCCTCCCCCAACAGTATTGGGGTTTGAACTTAGGGCGTCCACACTTGCTAGGCAGGTGTTCTGCCACTTGAGTCATTCCGCCTGCCCTCTTTCAATGAAATTTGTAGGTTTTTGGTGTGTATCGTATGAGAAATATATAAGAAAATATGTTTCATTATGTGGGCTATAAATTTCTGGAGCCAAGTTTAGTCTAAATGATAAAGCTGCTTTCATAAAATGACTTAATGTCTGTATGGGTGATGAAGTTTCTTTGATGTTCTCTGAAATTACTGGACTCTTTCCTTTAGTTTCTGCAAGCTTGGGAACAGAAAGAGAAAAGTGAAGCTTTGTTGGCTGTAATCCTTTCTCCTGTCTTTCACCCAGCTGTGCATCCCTCAGTGACCGCACACCCACACGCTGCTGTTGCTTGCTTTTGCACTCTGGCTTGTGGTTTAGTCTGGCGATGGGCTGTGCTAAACTAAACCTTTTCTGAAATCCCATCACCTACCTTTTGTGATTTCTAGCAGCAGAATGCATTAGGATATATTGGGAAATGTTTCAGTTGTCTCTGAATAACTTGGGTCTCGAAGATGTTCTTGGCTTCCTCTTTTAAAAGGTATGTTGCCTTATACCCTAACGCTTTGTCCAGTTTTAGGAATCCAGGTTGTAGGAAATACAGTTAATTGCTTTGAGGAAAAAGTACATTTTACTAATAAATAGTTTTATACATTTTATGTTATATTTAGTGACTCTTTAGGCATATTGCTGTCTTGATGCTCTAGTAATGAACTAATTCACTATTTTACAGAGTGCTTGTGATTCCACGTATTTTTGCTGAACTTGTAAAAAAGACACTTGGATGGTGGATTAACAAGAACACTGACATTCCGTGGAAAGTTTCAAATTGGAGAATATTGAATTTTCACCCTAGCAAGCAGCTCTGCTGCTCACGTAAATACAGATGAATGAAGACCCCATTCGGAAAGACACCTGGCCAGCGGTCCAGAGCTGATGCAGGTAAGCAGCTCAGCTCTGCATGTTTTAGTGTAATGAGCTTTTTGAAACAGATGCTTTCACATTATGTACCCCCAGAATACGTAGTGGTTTGCTATACTTGAAGCTTTGTGATTTCCAGTGTTTCTTGAAAAGGGGGGAATCACAGTAAATCCCTTTTTCTATATATCTTAGCAACTTACAGATACTTTGTATATTTAGCAAGTAAATTGTAAATATAAATAAAATTTATTTATAAAAGTACCTGTTTAATAGGAATATAATAAAATCAAGAATTTTTTTTTTTTTTTTTTTGGTGGTATTGGGGTTTGAACTCAGGGCCTCTCATTTGCTAGGCAGGTACTCACACTTGAGCCACTTTACCAGTCCTTTTTTTATGTTGGGTATTTTCAAGACAGGGTCTTGTGAACTATTTGTCTGGGCTGGTTTTGAACCTGGAACCTCCTGATCCCTGCCTCCCGCCCAAGTTGCTAGGATTGCAGATATGAACCACCGGCACTTGGTGATACTGAGCAGTTTTAAGGAAGAAAGATAAACTCAGTTTTTAGCGTATTTGAAGGGCTTTTACTGGTATTGATATGGAATGAATATCTAAGAGGAAATACATTAACTCTTGTTTGTGGTACACAACTAATACAAGAATAGACATTTAGATTTTACCTGAATTTTACCCTTCCCCAAAGATAAAATCTTGCAGGATACATTATAAAACAGATAGGTGATAACCTTCTGTGGTACTCAACTTCCTCCTCCATTTCAAATACGCATTTGAACATTGAGAAGTCAGTGATAAAATTGTCACGTTCTCAGATTCTGCCAGCATAATTATTATAGATCTGTTACTATGTGAGTTCAGAGCTGTTACATTTTTATTTACTAGAAAAGTCACAAAGCCTCAGATTTCCGAGGAACTTCTTTTTGTTCCTCTTTTATAAAGATTTAAATGTTTAGATTTGTTTTTTATTTTTGCATTACTGGCATTTGAACTGAGGATCTCACACTTGCTAGGCAGCATTCTGATTTGAGCAACTTTGCCAGCCCCTTTTTTGTGTGCGTGTTGGTTATTTTCGAGATAGGGTCTCACAAGCTATTTGCCCAGGCTCGCTTTGAATCTCCATCCTCCTGATCTCTGCCTGCTGAGTAGCTGTGATTATAGGCGTGAGCACCCAGCTTCGGGTTTTACTGCTGTTTTTTTTTTTTCTTGCCAGTATGGGGGTTTGAACTCAGGGCTTCACGCTTACTAGGCATGCACTTTACCAGTTGAGCCAACCCACCAGCCCAACCCACCAGCCCGTCATTTTTTTAAGTCCTCCCTTTGTTAGGAAGAAGACTTGCCAATCAAGTGATAGAAGTAACTGAATCTCAGCCAAGAGGTTCCCCACCCCCCAAAGGGAGAGATTGTTAATCCCAATAAGTACTTTGATCTCATGTTTTCTTATCCTTTACTATTTCTTATAGCATATGGCATAGAGCTAAAGGCAAAGAGAGACCTATGCATTATAGTTGTTCTGTTGTTAGCTATTACTGCATAACAGTCCATGATGTTACTTCTTTTTTTCCCCCCTACTGTTGGGTAGTTAAGGAGAGGATAGGGTGATTAATGTGCTTTTTATCCCCTAGTCTCATACAATCAGCACAACACAATACCTCAAGTCATCAAAATGTTGGAGGGGAAAGTATTTCTTCCCACCAGCAACCTAGTGATTCTACAGTACATACCAGCTGGGCACCCTCCACTTCAATTCTTTTTTTCTTTTTTTGATCTCTTTCTTTTTGCGATACTAGGGGTTACACTCAGGGTCTTTTACACTACCTGGAAATAGTGTCAGAACGGGCTGTAAATTTTTCCACAACTCCGTTCTTAAAACTCAGGAAGCGCTAATGCTTACCTGCTTGTTATAAAGTATGTTACAAAGGATACAGCTTTGCATAGGGTAAGATATGTAGGAAGGGGCACAGAACTTCCATGCCCTCACCACCCTAAACCATCCTGCAGACACCTTCAGATTCTAAGCAATTAGGGATCTCTCCAAATTTAACTGTGTTGGATTTTTATGGAGATTCTCATTGTGAAGACATGATTGATTATATCATTGATCATTTGTGATGAGATTAACTTTTATCCCATTCTTTCTAGAGGAGAGTGGGGCTCAAAGTTCTAACCCTCACATTCTGTATTGGTCTTTCCATTGACAAGTCTCCCATCCTGAAGTCCCATCCAGCTTCTAGTCATTTCCTTAATATACAGAAGATAGTTTTACCACCTTAGAGATTCCGTAGTTTCTAGGAGTTATGTATCTGGAAACAGGATGACCAAATACATATTTCACAACATTACCATAGTATATCCTGATTTGGGAAGATTGCTGATCCCGTGATCAGTATTGTTTATAAAGTTAAGGTTTACTGATTCTTCCTGTTAATGGGCAAGTGCTCTGTTGCTTTTAAATCTCTTTATCAGTTACTAATGTGTCTACTTGCAAATAAAAGAAAATTCACCCCCAAAAGGGGTTAAATAGTTTCTTGCAACCAGAGCCCAGGCAGGTATTCCAGAGTTGGTATGATGCCTCACCTATTCCATTAGGCAGTGGCGATCCCAAAGGCTTCCTGGCTCACATACCTGGGTGCTGGCTGGTAGAGCTCTAGGTGCTTCCTATCATGTCTGTTTTCCTCTGTAGGCCTTTGGGCAGTGGAACTTCTTATATAGAGTCTTCTGGAGCAAGTAGAACTCACACATGCTAATTGCTGCTTCATTCTGTTCACTGAGGCAGTCCCAAAGGCTCACCAAGGTTCAAGGAAGGGAACATGGACTCTGCTTGATGAGAGGAGTGTCAAAAGATCTGTGGCTGTTTTAAAACTGGCACAGGAAGATATGTTGTGTGGCTAACTTTAGTGTCTGCCACAGTCTCCATGCCTAACCCAGGCTTTGACATAGAGTGAGTGATCCATAAAAAATTGAAAATTAAAATCTTACATTCTCTATTTCTTTTGACATACTAGAGATTTCTATTTTGAAAATAAGGTTTATATAATTATGTTAGAATTTAATTGGTTACTAAAATAGTAGTTTATATAAAACGTAAGGACAGTGAGTAGCAAGTCTTTTCTGGTGGTGGTACTGGGGACTGAACTAAGGGCGTTGAACATTTGAGGCAAGTTGCTTTACTGTTGAGTTACATCTTCAGCCCAACAAGAACTATTATATGGTTTAAAAGCAATTTTTTTGTATAGTAAAAGTTGCTCTTTCTACTAGTTTACAAAATGTTCCAATATTTCTTCTTCTGTGAAATACTTTAATTATACTGACAGGAACAGGGATTTGTAATGACAGATACCCATGTACCCAATACTTATATTTAGCAAATATTTTTGCCATTATATATTTTAAGGTTTTTTTTTAAGAAAACTTTCTTTTTGCTAGCAGTACTAAGGTTTGAACTCAAGGGATTATCCTTGCTAGGTCAGCATTCTACCAATTGAGCCATGCCTCAGCCCTAGAAAACCTTTTATTTTTATCAAAGTAATAAAACTGTGTAGTTGAATAAATAGGTGACATTTTTAATTCATTTGGACTTTTACTTTCAAAATTGGTAAATAATAATAGTATTCAAAGTTCTTTTGATCCACCAATATTAGATGTTTGTATTAGCTTTTGTGAAAGAATTTAGCTCTTTAACATAACATCTCTCTCTCCTCCTGCCTCCTAATAAGTTTTTTTTTTGCTATGTAAATATTGAATGTTGTTGAGCCATGCAGTGCAGTATAATTTACTTTTTGGGGTACAACATTTTGTTTTTCTTAAAGTTTGTTTTTTTATTGTTTTTTGTTCTATTTGCTAACATTTCTTAGAAGCTTGAAGTCTTTGAGACTCCCAACAGCTTTAAAAAACTGTGGTCTAAATTTTCTGCACAGTCAAATGTGATAACCAACTTTTTATTTATGTTTTTCTAGAACCTAGTGTTCTTTTCTGTTGTGTATTGATTGCTCTCCAGACCTGATGCATCATTGCCATTCTAGGTATTTCTTTTTCTTTTTATTTATGTCGGATTCTCGCAGATGTTTTACCCTCATTTATATTGTTTCATGAATGCAATGCCTTCATTTTTGTTGTGTACTCTTGTCTAGGTGAAGAGTACATCTTCAAGAAGTTTCTTGTTTGTGATATGGCCTATTTATCTTATTCTTTTGTGTGGAGTCATTGTCTTGTAGGTAGCCTTCCCTGAGTTTGTGGTCTTGTTCCCATCTGTATGGCTCTCTCAGCCTGCATTACAGAAGTCATACTGGAACTGTTTTTCTCCTAGGTTTGAATCTGTGGTTTCTGAAATCTGTGTGTTTATTTTGCTTCTGTCATTTCCTGAAGGGTGTCTTCCAGTAACTTCCAAGGAAGATGTGTATGAGATGTAAATTTTAGCCCATATATGTATGGAGTATCCTCAATTGATAGTTTAGCTGGGTGTAAGTCCGGTTTCAAAATCATTTTGCCTAAATTTTGAAAGTATCAATCACCCTGGTTGTTCTAACCCAGTGTTGATGGCAGAAAGGTAATCTAATCCGGGTGCTGGTGGACCATGTCTGTTATCCTAGCTACTTGGGAGGCTGCGATCAGAAGGATCATGGTTTGAGGCCAGCCTAGGCAAATAGTTCTCAACACCCCATCTCCAAAATAACCAGAGCAAAACGGACTGGAGTTATGGCTCAAGCAGTAGAGCACCAGCTTTGCAAGCACGAAGCCCTGAGTTCAAACCCCAGCCCCACAAAAAAACCACACAAAAACTAAGTGTAGCCTGGATTAATGTGTTTTTAAGCTTTTAATTTTGAAATAGGTTTAGATACATAGTTACAAAGATAGGACCTCCATTCTTGAACCACTGTTAAAATGGACTTTTTAAGAGCAGTTTTAGGAGCACAGCAAAATGGAGTGAAAAGTCCAGAAGAGAGTTCCTGCATCCCCCTTTCCCTCACATGTTGCAACATCCCACTCAAAGTAGTATGTTCCATGCAGTCCATGAACTGACACTTCATGGTCACCTAAAGTCTCTAGGTTTACATTAGGCTTCACTTTTGCTGGGGTACATTCTGTGAGTTTCCAAAAATGTTTATACGCATTCACCATTACAGTACATACGGAGTATTTTCATTGCCCTAAGAACCCCTGCACCCCCAGTATTCATCAGTCCCCCTTAACAGCAACTGCTGACCTTTTTTATTGTATCCGTGTTTTGCCTTTTCCAGAATGTCATGTAGTTGACATCACACAGCATGTGCCTTTTCAGATCAGCTTCTTTCACTTATTAACATGCACTTAAGTTTCCTCCAAATTTTTCTGTATCTTGCTTCTCTTTAATGGTGAATCCATTCACCTATTGAAGAAATATTTTGATTGCTTCCAAGTTTTGGCAATAAACATCTGTGTGAAGGTTTTTGTGTGGACTAAGTTTCAACTCATTTTGCACTCATTTTGTACTCATTTCAAGGTACACAATTGCTAGACCTATTTAGCATTTTGTATTCTCAGAAGCAATAAATGAGCATTCCTGTTGCTTATATCCCTGCCAGCAGGGGGTCATGTAGTTTCGTGTTTTACAATTAGATCTGTGATGTGTTGTTTCTAGGTGTGTGTTTGTTTTGGCAGTACTGGGGTTTGAACTTAGGACCTCATGTGCTTGCTATCACTTCAGCCATACTTCCAGCTCCTTTTTGCTTGTCTTCTGGGGCTGGTCTCAGACCTTGATCCTCTAAATCTATGGCCTCCCCATCTCCACCTTCAGAGTAGCTGGGATTACAGCATGAGCCTCCAAGATCAGCTTGTGATATGTTTTTACTTAATTTATGTGAGGGGTATAAAGTCTTTGCCTAGGTGTTTCTTTTCTGCTGTTGTTGTTTTAAGCATTTCTATCTCTCCTTGTTTGTTCCTGTATGTTGCTTGCTTTTTCCATTAGAGCATTCTGTAGTTTTATGATTAGGCCTCAGTCTTGGTGAGCCTGTGCTCCAAGGCAGTGAATGTCATGTGTGCTTCTCAGTCCCCTTGCCCTTCAGAGGGACAGGATGGCTTGACCAGATTCTCAAACCCTGGAATTAAAACTCAGAAAGTGGGGACCCTCCCAGGAGTGTTCCCCCTTCTCAGGAGCCTTTGACTCATGCTCTGTTGAGTCAACTGCCAGTTACAGTTTAGGTTTATCTATCCCATCACTGGTGTGTGTGTGTGTGTGTTCTGATTGAGTAAGTTGGGATCCTCGGCACTTACCTTTCTCTCCAATTTTTGGGGCAGTTGTTTGCCCTGTGACTTTGATTCTCTAGCTAATCTAAGAAAAGTTGCTGATTTTTTTTAGTTTGTTCAGCTTTTTACTTGCTGGCAGGACAGATTAGCAACTTGAAAAGTTCCATGTATGCCTGACCAGCAACTGCAAGTTCTCTTTTTTTTTTTTTGTTTTTGAGAACTGTTCTTTTCCTTTTTCATAGTCTTTTGTTATCTGCAAAGTTTGGCTGCTGCCCAGCACCTCCCAAGTTCCCAGACTGGAACCTCAGGAACTCCACTGTCTGGCAAACTTTAAAAATGTAACTGACCACAAATCTTAGATGCCATTCCTGCTAACTGCCTGGGGGACTGGTGCCACAAGATGGTATTAGTTCACATTTTTCTGGGAAGAAAAGAGCAATCTTCAGAATGGCAGATTAAAAGTTCACACTTAGCTGGGCGCCAGTGGCTCACACGAGTAAGCCGAGCTGTTCGGGAGGCAGAGATCAGGAGGATTGTGGTTCAAAGCCAGCCCATGAAAATAGTTTGAGAGACCTGGTTTTGAAAATACTCAACACACACCCCTGAAAAAAAATGGGGGCCGGGAAGGGGCTGGCAGAGTGGTTCAGGTGGTAGAGCGCCAGCCTAGCAAGAGTGAGGCTGAGTTCAAACCCCAGTGCCAAAAAAAGGAAGTGTTGCTTAGCATTCAGGATAGCTTTTCAGTGTTTCTAGGTGAGTTCTGCTATGGTAAGAGAGTACATTTTGTGTGCTTTCAAATTGTTTTAAGTATATTGAGAGTTTTATTATGATTCAGCATATTGTTGGTATATCTGGGTGACTGTTGCCATGTGAACTAGGAAAAATGTGTATTTTGGCATTATTCATTTCAAGTCGAAAATTTGTGATACACAGGACTTCTGTATTTCTGATTTTCTGCCCACTTGTTATATCAATTGCTAAGAGAGGAGAGTTTTATAATTAACTATAATTTGGGATATGACTTTCTCTTCAGTTCTGTCATTTTTACTTCATGAATTTCATTCTCTGTAATTAGGTTTGTATATATTTAAGATTATTATGGTTTCTTGGTTAATTGACCTTTTTATGATTTTGAAATGTCTTTTGTGATTGTGGTAATATTGTTTGTTATGCTGTTAAATTTGTGGACTAATAATTGTCTCTCTTCTTTCTTGTCTCTTAACTGGTTCAGTTTATGCAATTTGCATCCATAATGGAGTTGTAATTATGTTGGGGTGGAGGGTTCTTTTGCTGGATGTAGTATTCTAAGTCCATACACAGGTGGATTTGTGTGCTCGTTTTGCAGCACCTTAAAGATTTCACTGTCTTCTGGCTTACCTTATTGTGACAACAGATCTGAAGTCACTGTAATCTTCACTTCCCTGTGGTTAATGTCTTTATTTTGTCAGTGCTTTTCAGAAATTTGAATAGGATGCGCTGTGGCATAGTTTCCTTTGGGTTTTCATCTTGTTCTGCCTTTGTTGTACTCGTTAGCCCTGTAGTAATATGCTTTTTAGCGTATCTGGAAAACTTTGCGATTTTTTTTTTTTTTTTCCGTCTTGTTCCTCTCTTTCTTGAAGTCTCTTTCCTATGTGTTTTTTTCCCCCCTTTTGACATTTTGGACAGTTTGTATGGTTATGTGTTAAGTTCATCATACTGATTGTATGCTCAAGTCTCCTATTTATCACATCCAATGAAATTTTCATTTCAGATGATGTATTTTTACTAGATTAACTTGTTTCTTTTATATTTTCCTTTTTCTGTTTTAAAGCTATTCACTTTTAAATATTTGAACATAGTTAGGTTTTAATGCCCTTGCCTACTAAATACTTTGTTTTGGTTATAACTGTTTTTTGGAGGGGGGCTTACAATCTTCTACTTCTCTACATATCTAATTGTGTGTGGAGGGGTGGGGGTTGATCCCAGGTTTTGTGCATGCTGGGCAAATGCTGTATCACTGAGCTCCTAGCCTCTAGATGTCTAATAATTTTTGTTGAATGATGGACATTTGAAATGTTTGAATATTGGGATTTTAAAGACTGAAAGTTAGTTGTTTTGAGGCACTGGAGTTTGAACTCATGGCCTCACACTTGCTGGGTAGGCACTCTTATCACATAAGCCATTCCACCAGCCCTTTTTTGGTGATGTATTTTCGAGATAAGAGTCTTGAGAACTGTTTCCCTGGGACTGACTTTAAACCTTGATCCTCCTGATTTGTCTCCTGAGTAGCCTCTCAGAATTCTTACGTGCAGGTTTGTGTTTAGCCAAGGACTGAATCGTCTCCTCCAACCTCCATTTCTCCCTAACTGCAGTCTGACACTCCATTTGGCAAAGCCACAGTGTTCTTCCTAGTTCTCCCATCACATACAATCATCTAAAAATTGTTCTTAGGAATAAATTCAGAGCCAGTGAAGGCCTGCCTGTTTTGCTTCTCTCCTTCCAGGTCCTGTAGACCTTGGCTGCCTGTCACCTCATTGCCAGAAAACAAATGCTTCATATATTTTGTCTTGTTTTCTAGTTGTTTATGACAAGAAACATACTTTCCATGGCTAGGACAGGCAATTCTTATTGTTGGAGTATTGTTGACTCTGCCATTTTGTTTGCCGAGAATATCTCCTTTCCTAAAAGTTAAATAAACAAATGGCTTCCTTACATGTTGGCTGTAAATGATTTATTCTCAGGTTTTATGTAGCAATTTTGCAGAAGTTAAGTTTTTCTCAGGAGCTGAAATGTTACCCACTTTTTACTGACTGCAATTCATCTCTATTGCAGGCCATGCTGGAGTATCTGCAAACATGATGAAGAAGAGGACATCCCACAAGTAAGCAATTCTGAAAGCTATTTTTAGATAGCATTTTGTGACCCTTAGTTGCCTAGCACAAGGAAACACTTCTTGCAAGAGGTGGTTCTTAGCTCATCTTTGTCCACTGCTTGGTAACTTTGTGTAGTCATCTTCCCTGTCCATTCATTCTCCTTGGTCTAGTTGAAGTGTTCCTGGTCTGTCTTTTAGCTGTTGAAAGTCTTTGAGTCATGATCTTCTCCCATCTTAATGGGCGTGGGCCTGGTGGTAAGGAAGAGTAGTGGTATGAGAATGGAGGGCATATGGTAAACCTCTCTTATGTCTCTTTAGTGAAGCTGCACGGTCCAGATGCTGGGATCCTCTATGGTCTTGATCTACTGTTTAGAGGAGGAGCTTCTTTTGTAGAGAGTTCAGATCTTATGTTAGAGGGCTACCTAGCATACTGCCAGTCTTTGCTTTTATAACATTTTTGAATGCATGAAGAGCTTGTCATTTAAAGAAAGTGACCCATGTTAAAATATAGTTAAAGCCAGGCGAAGGTGGTGCACTCCTGTAATCTAGCTACTCAGGAGGCCGAAATCAGGAGGATCAAAGTTTGAAGCAAGCCCGGGCAAATAGTTTGTGAGACCCTATCTCGAAAAAAACCCATTACTAAACAGGTCTGGCAGATTGGCTCAAGCAGTAAGAGTGCCTGCCTAGCAAGCGTGATGCCCTGAGTTAAAATGCCAGTGCTGCAGATAAATAAATAGCTGTCTTTATTGTTTGTTTATTTGTTTTGTTTTGGAGTTGTAGTTCATGCTGGCCTTGTGCTCACATTCCTCCTGCCTCGGCCTCCCAGGTGCTGGTATTACAGGTGTGCACAAACACACCTGGCAGTAGCCATGTATTTGAAGTGACACTTGTGTTCTCAGTTCTACTATCTGTAGGTGTCAGGGTAGAGAAGCTATTTTTTTTCCCCTACTTCATGCACTGGTGGCTGTGCTATTGCACCATGGAAATACCATTCTAACAATGCATTATGAGTGTAAAAGAGTCTTCTTGGTTATAAGTTATTAGATATGAAGAAGGCCTTCCTTGTGCTACCACTGCCCAACACACTCACTATATAGCTATAATTTCCAAAGTAGTCATATTGAAAGTTTATGCCCCTTAGTCGTTACACTCTATAGTGGGTGAAGGGGGTGAGACTTTTGGCCGTGGAAGGTTAGGATGAATTAGGGGTGCCATTCAGTAATGGTTAGTGATTGAGCTTGTCCCCATTCAGTTGAAATGAATGTAATGTAAAATATTCATAATATTCAGCTTTAGAAGTGACCTAGGGAGTAAAAACCTGAGGGTTAGATGAGTATCCTCTTGTTATTTCTGAGGCTTAATCAAGTGCTGTTTCATTTTTATTAGCATCTATTAGTTTTACAGAAGGGATTCATTGTGACATGTACATGTGCACTTAAAATGTATCTTAATTAGATTGACCTCCATCATTCTCCCTCATTCCCCCTCTCTTCATGGAACAGTTTCGACACGTTTCATTGTTCTATTTTCATACGTGTATTACAAAGTACATTGACCATATTTACCCTCCTTCCTCTGTCCATTTAACCCTTCACCCTTCTAGTGATACCCATCCCTGGACAGGGCCTGTTTTGCCTTCCTGTCCTAATCAAGTGTTTCTTAAATTTCCTCTTTTTTCTCATTGCCTTCATGGTTTTGCCTTATCCAGTAGTGTGATCATTTACGTGTGTCTGTACTTGTTATCATGTCATTACCATAAATGGTAAGCCATCTCTTGCCTCAAATAGAAGACAGCATTATAAACCGAAATATAAGCCTTAACTATTAGGCACCGACAGGGAAGCAAGTGAAATATCATCTTTGCAAGACCAAAACAGTTCATTCAGAATAGATTTTGCTACTTACAAAGTGTTGAGAATGCTCATGTGGATTTGATTTTGGCCATTTTTCTGTGTTTTCAAATAATTAAGATTAAAAGTTGATTTACTCAAAGCTCATTTACCTAGGATTTCAGACATAGGTTTGACCTGTGGTGTTTGTTATACATGTATTTTGTGCAAGGGAAACTACATGTACCTTTTTGCTAACCAGTAGAGTGTATTCATTATGTCATGGGTTTGCTTTCCTAAGCCAAAGAAATAAACACCTACCTATTAAAAATCTTTAAAGTTCATACTCTCTCATATGTTCAGATGAAAAAACATCTGTGTGTTCCATATTTTGAAAACATGGTTTGGTGGGGATTCTTTAGGTTTGTTTTTGGTTTTGTTTGGGTTCAGGGCCTTGTGCATGCTAGCAGGTGCTCTACCACTTGAGCCATGCCTCCAGTCCTTTTTGCTTTGGTTGTTTTTGAATAGGGTCTTACTTTTATGCCTAGGCTGTGACCTGGACCACGGTCCTCCTGTTTACATTCCTGTAAGCGGGAATGACAGGTGCACGCTACCATACCCAACGTTTTGTTGGTTGAGATGAACTTCTCATACTTATTTCCCAGACAGGACTTGAATCTTGATCCTCTGATCTGCACCTCATAAGCAGCTAGGATTATAGGCATGAGCCACTATGCCAGCTGATGTGGTTCTTTGATAGGCACACATATCTTCTTGAGCGCATTGCTGTGTAGCAGAAGTTGTTGAAATGAGGGGAAAACTTATTCTTTTTTTTTCCTGTTCTCAATGCAAATTTAAAGATGGATAGAGGAAAAAGAAAGACTGAAACAAAAGTTCTCATGTTCAGTGATGTCTTTGGGATGGAGTGCAGGGATGGACACATGTGGAGAGGCTCCTTGGAGCTGACTGTGAGGCCTTTGCAACTTTTCAGTATGTCTGAGACTCAGCTTATCCATATCTGAAATCAAGGTATTGGAGCAGAATAGCAAATCTTCAGCTTCCTTTTTCATTTTCATTAGCATATATTCACTGTACAGTGGGGATTCATTGTGCCAATTCGGAGTAGCCTTACATTGTACACTGGTTAGATTGTCACCACCACAAACCTTCAGCTTTTCAGCACAGGTTTCTTTCTACAAATGAAATTTTTGTAGAAGTCAGATATAAAAAGGCAGAACTGTAGTCTGTTCCTTTGGTTGCCTTTGTTGTGACTAGTCTGGGGCTCCTGTGACTAGGTCACCTCTATTGTTTTCCATACTACTTGGGAGGGTAAAAGATGAACCTGCTGTGTAGCTGCTATGCTCAGAGCATACCTTTCTCTGTTAGGTTCGAGGAGCAATCAGGAGTCTGGTCTAAAACCACACAAATCATTGATACCACACAGAAAACATTATGGGTCTGAATTTTGACCCTGCCATCTGTTGGGGATGTAATCTGGGGCCTCATGCTAGGCTAGTGCTCTACCACTGAGCTACATCCTCTCCCTTAGATGGAAGACTGGCTTGTTTTCCTTCATCTTTTTTTCCCCCCCTATACTATGCTGAGAAATGCCAGCATAGTATAGAACTTTTATAAAAATAACAACAGCTGCACAGGTTTTCTCTTTCTTTGCTTTTTGGTTTGCATTTTGCAAAATGACAATTATTGTGATTTAGCCAAATTTCTTCTAGAATTAGCTGGAATCCATAGTGTAGAAATTGCATTTACTTATTGATTGCAATATTGGGGCTTCAACTCAGGGCCTACCCCTTGAGCCACCCCACCAGCCTTTTTGTTTTTTTATGAAGGGTTTTTTCGAGATAGGGTCTCATGGAACTATTTGCTTGGGCTGGCTTTGAACCGTGATCCTCCTGATCTCTGCCTCCTGAGTAGCTGGGATTATAGGGGTGAGCCACCAGCACCTAACAGGAATTGCTTTTATATAACAATGCTAAATAGACTGGAAATAGTATTAGTAATTGATCAATATAGCCAAGTACATAGTATGTGACAGGTTTCAACTGGCTTATGGTAGAATGTGATAGTTGAGAAGTTTAGTTAAATGTATGACATCTTTAAGTATTGACTATCAAAAGAGGATATTTAAATGCTGACTAGGAATAGGAGTCAATTTAAAGTATCTAAGGAGTCTGAACAAAAGATGAAAGGTTTTCAGCATAGGTCTTCTTAAAAAAATTAGAATGGTACTTTAAAACTTCAAGTATGAGGCAGAGTACATAATTGTCTCTTACAGTGGCAGTTTAGTTTACTTTGTTGGGAACATGAAAACATAGAAATTAGTGTTTGTTCCAAATGAGTGCTACCCTGAGTGTGTCCTGTGGATCAGCAGCAGCAGCTTGTGTTAGGAGTACGTTGGCTATAGAGGCGGCAAAGCCCAGACTGGCTAGGGAGGGTCACATCAGCTCACCAGGAGATTTGTATGTGTCCAGCTCATTAAGTGCATTAGAAAACTGATTTGTGATTGGAGATTAGTGTAAAAATGAGGGTGATTACAATGCTATGTAATTAGTCACTACTTACTCATATTCAGACCACAAGTGCTGGGATTGCAGGTGTGTGCCTGGCTCCTTTTTTTATCACTTTATTATAATTTTTTCTTGAACCATTCGTTTAAAAAAATAGCTTCTGGGTGGGCCCTGGTGGCTCAAGTCTATAATCGTAGGTACTTGAGAGAGGCTGAGTTTGGGAGGATTAGTTTGAGGCCGTCTTGGACAAATAGTTCATGAGACTCCATCTCCAAAATAACCAGAGCAAAATGGACTGGAGGTGTGGCTGAAGCAGTAATGAGTGCCTGCTTTCCAAGTGCAAAGCTCTTGAGTTCAAACCCCAGCAGCGCCTTATCCTCTCCCCCCCCCCAAAATAGCTTCTGGAGATACGAAATAAGGAAAGAGATGAGAGATGTTTAATTTGGCTTCTTTGCTTTTCTCTTTTAATTGTTTGAGTCATGACACACTACAGCCTTTCATTAACTGGCAGTGAATCAGGATGCCTTAGGTTAGATGAAATATCTTGGTATTTGTTTTATAGTATTGTTCTTTGTGAGGATTGTTACTAACTGGTAAATGATAGTTAAGAATATTTTAGACTAAGGAAAAGAAATGTAAGAGAATGAATAGTAAT